AAAAAGTTTTTTTAAAAGTACTTATATAGTGAAAAAAAAAAAAAAAAAAAAAAAAAAAAAAAAAAAAAAAAAAAAAAAAAAAAAAAAAAAAAAAAAAATAAATATGGGAAGAGCGCGGAGTGAGAGTTGGTTTATAAAATAAGAACAGACAAAGAGCAGACAATTTAAGAAGTAAAAGAAAAGTAGTAGTAAGAAGAGCACGCGGAAATCTTATAAAGAGCAAGCAAAGGAAAGGCAAATTCAGCGGTTAGTAAGAGAGTCGTAATAACAGTAAGATGAATTAAGGAGTGTACCGAATTGTAGGCAGCGAACCGCTGAGTATTAGTGTGAAGCTGTCAAGCAAAGAAAGTGAAAAGTTAAAGCGTGCATTTCAAATCAAAAGAGGCGCGAAGTGTGAAAGAAATTTAAAATAAAAACAGACAATTGACACAGAAGTATTTAGAATATGACATTTTTTTTTATAAAAAAAATAGCTAGAAGAGAGAATAGTAGGTAAAGAATGATAGAGTATGAGGCGAGATAGAGTATCAAGCAGGAAGGAGTGCGGAAGATAAGTAAGCAAAAAGCGCTGAAAGTGGAGTGAGTTGTAAAAATGCAGTTGAGAGCAGGCGGGCGATTGCAATAACAAAATATTAAGATAGCAAACAATTAAAAACGAAAATCAACAACTAATGGCAATATTTTCGGAGGTTGAGGCATTTAGTAGCAAATATCCATGCATAAGCAAACGAAAAGTACTAGTACATGGAAACACAGTACATAAAACGAGTATTTAATTGCAAATGCATACAATAAGCCAAATTTTATAAGTACAGGTGTGTTAATAGCGAAACACGAGTGTGTAGCAGCAATGCCTGAAATGTTGCAATTGCGCATTGCATAGTTTTAACTGAAAAGTGGCAACAGTGCATTACATATTTTAACTGAAAAACGGCAATGGCGCGGCAACATACAAACCATAAAAAAGCGTTTAAAAGTAGAAAAAGCTAACAATAAAGGTGAGCCGGTATAGAGTTTGCTGCGGCTGTTGCGTTTGCGCAGGCAGAGCGCGCAGGTGAGAGGAGAAAATGTCTGGTATGGGCATTTTTATATTGAAGTGCAGAAAGTGGTTAGGAAGTGTAGAAGAGGAGTTCATATGTTGAAGAAAGTGAGCAAGCTGATATGAATAGGTCAGCGTAGTATATACCAAGAGAGAGAGCGAGTGAAAGAGAGACATTTTAGAAGAAAAAATATGGTGTGTTAACCGACTGGCGTTGAAAAGGTGCACGTCTAGGCGAGCCTCTTACACAACTGCCGGTCAGCGCATTACACTCAACCGCTCACCTTAATTCTGCCAAACAATCGATAGCCACAAATATATAATCAAGTACACGCGTAGTATATCTATGTCACGCTTGTGTAATGTGTAGGCAATGCGCTCATGTAGGTGCTAATCGAAAATGTGTTTTTAAAAAGCTCACTAATCATACATTCATCTACATAGTTTATTATATCGAAAATTATCACACATTTACATGCATGTATTTTCTGTAATCAATGTTGAGACAGTAACTAATCGAGATCGGTCATATTTTTGCGTGTATATCAACAATAAAAACAACAATACACACTATATAACGATCAATATGATTGATATTTAGGTGTTTACAAATAAAAGTAAGCGAAAGCGAGTAAAAATACTAATAAAAATCACCCTCATGCACATAAGCATATGATTAAAAATTATTACAAATTTATTACACACATTCGTATAAATGTCATAAACATTTGATGTTCTCATTATTGCTGCGAGAGAAGAAAAATCGTAAACTCAAACTAATAATTTACTAAATTACTATTGTTAAAACTCAATATGCGCCAAGACAAGCAGTCAGATATGTAGACTAGCCGAGAACCGCTATATGCGTGAGTGTATTGAGAGTCAGCTTATAGAAAATGTTTTTCCCATGCCAGATACATATATGTATATAATGTGTGTTTAACCAATTAGTAGCATCAAAATATATAAATAACTGTTATGCATAACTGTAAACAAACACACACGCAAAAATAACCAATCAAATGAGGTGTGTGTCCAAGATAGCGAATAAATGTGAGAGGGTAGGTGTATTGGCTAAGAGAGTTGAGAGAGCGAGAGAGAGTAAGATACATAAAGAGGAAAGAACGAGTGCAAGTGATGAGACAAAGATGGAGAAAAAAAAAATAGCGTAAAGGGTGAGAGATTAGAGAGAGAAAAAATTTAGTGAAAAAGCGATTGTAAAATAACAAAAAATAGGGATATGTAAAGAGAAAAGATAAAGGTTAGAGGGTTGAGGGTTGACGAAAGACAGAGTTTCTGTAAGGATGCAGGAATTGAGGTCTTCCTAAAGACAAGTTAGTTTAAGGGTGTTTGAGATATGATCGTAACGGTCGAAGGAATGACATTAGTGAAACTGGTAGGACAGAGATTATTGGCGAAATAAATGTATAAAAATAAAATGCGGAGATTTTTGAAAAAATAATGGCAATAAGCTTTAGTTTCCTACAAATTTGTGGAGAAGCCAAAAACAGGAACGGACAGATAAGGTTTGAGAAATATAAACTAAAGAAGGTGAGCGTTGCAAAATTTCAAAGAGATGATGGGGATTGAACATATAAAGATGGCGAATAAAGAGCATGAAAGCAAATATAGAGCAGAGGTAATTAGTAGATAAGTTGTGAACTAGAATACAAAGCCATGCATGTGGGATGAAAGGGAAGAGAAAGGATGAGATAAAAAGAGAAGCGAAGAGAAGATAATAGAGTTAGAAGAAATGAGTTGCATGAAGGCGTAAGAACTTGTGAGGAGAAGTCAAGTGATAAGGAGGGATACTGTGTAGAAATAGGAGGTAAAATAGTGTCTGTGCGAAGATTATAGAAAATAAATGTTTAAAATATATGGCATTCCCATCTTTTACCAAATTGAAAAGTATAAGACATCGCGAAAGGTTTCAGTGTGGTTTTTCAATTATAATAGTAAACAACGTTTGAGCTACTTCAAAAAATAGTTGGCTAACTTAGAATATATAAAACAGCGCATTTACTTAAAAATAAATACAAGCAAACAACGAAATCAAAGGAGCTTCTGGCCAACTGCATTGAAGAGCAGGAAAAATTGAAAAAGAAAACGATGTGTTAGAAGAAAAGATGTGTAGAAGATAGAATGATAAACAGGAAAGGTGGAACCTGTTAGTTGTGAATGTGTCACGCGCGCACGCTCTCTCTACCTCTCTCCTCCTTGTAAGTAGTTAGCGGAGTTGCAAACCCTTAGGGGCGCGCAAACGAGCTATTTTGCAATAGAATTTCGATCTAAATAACTTTTTGTTCATTAAGCAAGCAGTAGGATGATATTTGCTGTCAACTGCTTGCTTTTGTATTGCATTTTAAAATTTTCTAGCTTAGCCAAGACACACACCACCTTCTACTACGCACAATGTGCAACCACTAACATAGAACACACAAGCGACAGGCGATCTAAAGCAGTATGCGCAAATTTTTAAAAATCAGCATAGAAAAACTTTAATAAACATAAAAGATTTTAAGTAAAAATTCATATTTTAACTTTAAAATAAGCAAGAGGTAAAAGTAATTGATGTCAAACTGGAAGCTAGCAGGCAGAAAAGGGCGCCAGGCCACAAAAAATGCATTTATACAAAACACAGTGGCGCCAATATTTATGTGTACACCGTTTGCGGCCAAAGCGTGCGCACAGCAAGCGCCAGAAACGCAAGTACATACATGTTTGTATATGAAAACTAAGTACTAAAGCATTTCAAAATCCCGTAAAATATACCGTACCATAAAATAACATAAAATAACTGTACTGAAACCGACACCAAAAAATCCCACTTAGAAAAATTCACACTCGTACTGAAACTGTCACAGCAAAAAGCCGAAAAAATAGTTTAAAAATAAATGCAAAAAATAAAAACAAATGACATAAAATACTACTACTACTACTATTTTACGAACAGTACATAGCAACCCATAAAGCGTAGCAGAATTTCAGAATTTATATACATAGTGGAAAAAAGTAAAAAGTAAAGGGAAAAAGCAGCAAAGAAACTAGTGAAAAATCGTAAAATTTTGAAATGTTATAGAATGCAAGAAAATACACGAAATTGTCGTCGTAAATCCAAAAATGAAATCAGCTTCCAAAACTTTTAAGATACTAGTCAAGTAAGTGTTTAATATTAGCAAAAGCAAAGTTTATAAACAAAAATCAGCAAATTGAAAAATTAAGCATATATAACATGATATAACAGTAAATGTGGTAGTGATGCGGTAAAAAAGCATTCAAAAACTATAGCGACCGTTAGCTTGGTTAGATACCAACAATTTTTTTGAAAAATTAAAACAAATTAAAAAATATACATACATCTATATATATATATATATAAATATATAAACGTGTAAGCAACCATTTTCTGAATAAAAATCACTGATTTTTCATATATATAGTAAATTTTTACGCATAAATATATATATACATATACATATATACCGTATTGAATGTAAAAAAACACCACAGCAAAAATTTGAGATCATTAGAGATAAGAACGAATCGAGTTTATGATTTGAGTTTATGTATGTGCTAAGAGCTAAGCGCTGAGAGCGCGTAATGAGAGAGCGCAAAATTGGAAGAGCCGTAAAGTGTGCGCTGCGCTACAGTGGCGTGCATATTTATGAAACCAGCAATTTTGCGCGCAGAAACCAAAAAACAAAAAAAAAAAAAAAACAAAAGATATGAAAAAATTTACATTAAAAATAAGAGAGAAAATTATCGTAAAAACAAAAATAAAAGTAAAATAAAAATATTTATAAAAACATTTTGAACAAATTTGTAGTAGAAAACTTATGTAACAAAAGCAACGCATGCGACTTAACAAAACATTTACTATCAACTATGATTTACTCGCATAAACATACTTACAAACTAGTTTCATGTTTCTCTTAAATGTTCAAAAGCAAAAGCAAAACGCAAACCACAATAAGCGAAAAACAAATACAAAAGCAAATTGCAAAAAATAATAAAAATACAAAATAATAGCGTGTGTTAGACAAGCTGGCAACACTATGCATCATTATTACAATTACCTAAGTGTCACGTAAATACATAGACGCCTACAAACATATAGAGATACACACACTCATATATATATATATATATATATACATATATACATGTTTAATGTATTTATAACGGTACTTGTACTAGTATTTGTGTACCCCGCCCAAGCACACAAAGCAACAATGCAGAAATGCGAAAAATGCAAGAAACGAAGAAATCGAAACACAAATGGGTGCTTACAAAATATTTAATTACCTACATGATTACTTAGCGAAACTCTCTTAACTGACTGCTGAGAGCGTAGTGAGCGCAAAATGAGTGCGTAACAAATGGATGTGCTGCTGAAGCTGAGTGGCTGTTACAAACACAAAAACAAAAACAAAAGAAACAACAAATCGCCAATAACGGCGCGACAGGCAAGGCAAATATTGTTTTGCACACGAGTGTACTGGCAAACGCATAAAAATGTAAGGCGTAAAACGCTGTCAAGCCTCACCAACAGGCGTTGCTAATACTTGTGAGCGGTTTGCCGTTAAAAAATTCAGGCGATTACTTTTCAATTACTTTATGATTACTTCACTTTCATTATACCAAAGAAAGCATATTGTCACAGGTGGCTGTATGTGTGCGTAATACAAGCATACAACAACAAATATGCGAAATTCTTAAGTAGTTGACTTTAATTAACACTTATTTCTCAAGTAATTACCTAAGAAAAACTTATTTATACCAAGTAATTATATATCAAGTGCATGCATTAGTGTTTAATTATTTGTGTTTAGCTTTTATGTGCAAATATATATATACATATAATTGAAAATACATAAATAGTATATATGAATTATAACTTGTCGCCCTTGTAATGCATTACTAAACCAAAAATATACTTTAAATACTTGTATTGTAATTAATTGCAAATTTCTCTAACCGTATGCATATAATTGTTAGTACTAATCATTTAAGTAATATATTATTAACGAGCAGAAACTATAGCATTACCAGCTGTCATTACATATGCATTACTTTGCATTACATTACATAACCTAAGGTTACATTTAATTTTGTAGCGCGTTCATAATGTACGCAAGCACTGGACGCGTTAAGTGATTATTTAAAATGTAATTACTTACATTACAGTAATGGTAATGCTTTTTGCATTACACCATACAATTACTTTGTAATGATTTTGTTCATTATAAACACTCGAGCACATATTACTTTCGATGTATTCAAATATTTGTGTATTTAGTATATGAATTACATATTAATTAATGCATTACCCACTAATTACAAGTAATTACAAACCGGCGTCAAAGCAAATGCCAGCAAAAAAATATATAAAATGCTATACGTAGCAAACATAATGCAACAGCAAGCCACAAATATGATTAAAACCAAGCAAGCAATTAAACTAAAGTAATTCAAGTAATGGAAAGTAATTATATGGGTATTTGTGAACTCAAAGCAAACGCAAAATAGCAAATAAAAGCTCTAAAGAGGTGAATCATGGCAACTCCGAGGAAGCTAAAGTGAAGCGGAAGAAAAGGTGAAAAGAGAGCGAGAATTACAGCGAGTTGTGGTGCGGCGACGTGAGAACATCCTTAGAACAAAGAGCGGTACAGCATGTTATAAGCAATGCAGCGAAAATCATGAAAGCAAAGCTAAGAAAGAGCTCAGCAGAGCAAGTAAGCGTACTGTAAGATCAAGTGGGAGTATATATACATAAACTCTTTCTGTTCCTCTGGATCATTCTCTCAAGCCAAACCGACGTGCTCTTCAAGTGACTAGTTAATAGCCGAAGATCACTTTACCGAACAAAAACAAAGTTGTGAGCAACATAAATCCATATATATATATAAACATACATACATACAGGCATAACACACACACAGACTATATATACACACATAAGCATACAGTGAAAATATACAAATACATACACACATCTACTTGCACACTGCAATACTTACCTATATACAAAAGCAGAGGAGTCAAGAAAATAAGAAACACAAATACTGAAATCAGCAAGCCACTTCACTCGAATGCCGAAGCAGAAACAAAAACAGAAATATATATATATACATATGTATATGGTTAAAAAATATATATATGTATGTGTATATATGTTTACATATTAATTATTAACAATTTNAAATTTTATATTTATTTTCGTCAATTTTAAACACTGTTGCTGTATGTATTTGTGGTTTTGACTGTTTACAATCACTTATTGCATTTAATTTATAATTAATTATTAAAAGAAAGGCATGCAAAGATTTGTGTGATTTAAGAAATTGTAATTTATTCCAAAAATATTTAAATATTTCATTTCTTTTAAATAATAGAAACTCTCTCGGCAGAGTTGCATAGTATGTATGTAACTAAAAAATCAATTAAAGAGAGCGACAACTTCTTGAAATCAACGCACGGCGATGCTCAGCTTTATATTATTTTTATCTACATTATATTATATATATATATATAGATAATTATATTTATATTTATATATTTTTTATATTATTTGTTTATTTTTATTTTTTTTTATTTAAATTTTTTTTTTATTTATAAAAATGCAAACATCTAATTTCAATCAATGGAAAACCTGTCAAGCAAACGTATTATGAAAGACAACTATTTAATAAAGCGCAAATACTGTATAGAGAGAAGAAGAGAAAGAGAGAGAAAAAGAGTGAGATAGAGAGATAATAGAAAACGAGAAATTAATAAAATTAGCAATAAATGTAAAAATTGCAAAAAATACACAAAAAATTTAAATTTTCGGCTTTTTGATTACAAAAATAGAAAAGAATAACGAAAAGAAGAAAGAAAGAGAAAAATAGAGCATAAAAGAGCTGAAATTGGGCACTTACGAATGGGTTTGCACAAATCCTTCATAATTGAATATAGATTTTTACCAGTAAAAAGTTAAAGATCAGAAATTAAATTTGAGCACATGTACTATACTTTCAATAGTTCCTTTAAATCTCTGTATTTGTCATATATTGAACTAACGAATTGCTCTCCAAGCTCTAGTGAGCTTCAACTGAGTGCAGCAATCTACCTTGCTGGCTGTTTCTCTCTTAATAAATATTCCTCTTAACTGAGTCTCTATCTTCGCACTATCTACTCCCTGTAACTTGCGCTACGTGCACCCTTTTGCGCTCCAACGACTTCTTCTCCAAGTTTGCCTAAAAGCTCTTTGTTCTATTATTAGTTTCACTCACTAATACTCATTTAAACTATCTGCTGACTGAAATGCTAAACATTAATCAAATATGCCAAATGTAATTCTTTTTATTTCCTTCTTTACATTTTATTTTCTTACATCTCTTTATTTCCTTATGACGAAATTGTTCATATTCTAGTTACTCTCATTTCTAATTTAAAAGGTTGAACACTCCAAAGCTTACCACTCATATTTTCAATCATTCTTAATCTCATATTCAGTGGTTTTATACCAAAATATTTATATTAATCTTTATTTACGCAGAGTATCAACTTTCTCTCAACGAACTCAGCATAAGAATTAAAAAAAAAAAAAAAAAAAAAATATTTATGTAATTTTCTCGTAGTTTATAAAATGAAAAACTCAAAAGTGCTCACTGAGTTAATGTATTTAAAACACGCGCGCTCGTTTGTTCTAATGATAAACTAGCTAACTCTCAATATATTATACTGATCTTGTACTCTCCCTCTCTCTCTCTCTTTCTTACAATTTTTTTTTCGGATTTAGATACTCACCATTGGCTGGTGATCTCTTGGCCAATTCCATTTTGCCCGGTAATGCAATGACCGGCTCCGGCTGGTGTATATTCGTTTACAACCTCGCACCCGAAACGGAGGAGAATGTCTTGTGGCAACTGTTCGGCCCATTCGGTGCCGTCCAATCGGTCAAGGTTATACGTGATTTACAGACGAGCAAATGCAAGGGTTTTGGCTTCGTGACCATGACGAATTACGATGAAGCGGTTGTGGCAATACAATCACTCAACGGTTATACACTCGGCAACAGGGTGTTGCAAGTTAGCTTTAAGACAAATAAAACCAAAACCGCTTAAGTGAACTTGAGTGGTGTTAAGAAGAAGAAGCAAAACAACAGCAACTAAAGGAAAAACAGCAAGGATGTGAAGAAAAATGAAAGAGAAGGCAAAACGGCCGTAGTAAAAGAGAACGGGAGCGCAAGCAAAATTTTAGTGAAAGAGAAGTAGAGCGTAAGCGCAAGCAAAGCTTTTGTTGACGCGCGGGCTTACGCGAGCGCAAAAATAAGTGAGAGAGTGTGAAATTAGCGAAAGGAAAGCAGGATAAATAAGCATAAAGTATAAGCAACAACCAGTAAACACCGCAGTTCAACTAAACAACAGCAAAAAGGTTAAAAACATGCAAAAAAAAAAAATTTTAAAAATTTACATAAGTTATATACACATATTATATATGAAGCTGTAGTTGTGTGTGCAGGAGAGACAGCTGAAAAATATTAACTATACAAAAAGTGTTGAAAAATGAAATTAAGATTTACCACTAGTCACACAAGAAATTAAAAAACAAAAACAAAAATGTTTTTCATTGAAGAAAATTAGTAAAAATTATAAGTTGTGCAAAATTAAATTTAGTTTTGTAGTATTTATTGAAATTCGAAAATTTGTTAGCAAAAAATGTAAGAGAAAACTACGAAAAAGCGGAGCAGAGAGCGGCATATGGCAAAAGGGAGTAGGGAAAGCGTGAAATTGTTTGCACAACGCAATGCTTTCTAGCAATATTTTTTTGTGTGTTCAAGCGAGCCGAAAGTAGTTGAGCGTGAGCGCGAGATAACAGCCACAGCAAGTGCAAAAGCTTCGCCATAAATAGTGAGTGGCGAAAAGGCTTAAAAGAGCGCAGAAAAAACGCGTGAGCGTTAAAAGTGCAAAGCGACGCTGCCAGATGTCACGCTGCTAATTGGTATGAAGCAAAATCTTTGCATGGCAACACCCAATCAACACTGGCACAAATAGTTTAACACAAAAATCAATCCTGAAAATATTCAAAAAACGGAAATTCTCAAAACCTAAAGAAAGGGACATAAAAATAATAAGAAAATAAAAATAAAGCAACAAATAATTCTCAAACTCATCGTATAACTACTTATGCATATATATATAAATATATATTTATTACTTATTATTAACTATT